GGATATAAACGCAACGCTTCTTTTATACATCTCTCTAAATATTGTAAATCTTGCAGCGATTTCATAGTAAGTTTCCCTTGACTTTCTTGTATAACAGCATTAACTTCTTTTCTAACACGATCCTGTATAATTAATAATTTTAATTAAGAGTATCTTTTATTAATGTTTGTGATATCTTTTACACAGAAATATATTTGTACAATTTTTATTATATAATTTTGAAAAAGTTTTGCCTCATTTTTTATACACATTTATATTATATGTTATATAATATATGTACAAATTATATATTTTAAATATACAATTTCATATGATATTTATATATTTGTATAAGTATATTTAAAATAATTAAAAAACAATTTAAAGGAATCCTAAAATTGTCTGTTTTATCGATTAAACGCAATAATTTTCTTAAAAGATTTTTATATTCATTATTTTTATAAATTGTGAAATCCTTATCCAGAATTAAAAAATACGTAATAATTTTGTGTGTGAAGTATTTATACCGAAAGAGAAAAGAGGTACTAATCTTATGTGTTAAGTGTTCACGCAAAAAATAAAAAAAATATTTTTGAAATCAAGATTATTTCTTGGTCCAATATGATATCTAAAACTAGGTATTAGATTGTGACAACATTTGTTTAATAAAGAAACTGCAATCTATCTCTCTCTACTTACGAAATTGAAGACTAATAGATTACATGATGAAATAACATTCTTATGTTAAAGAATTAGATTTAGACACTTAGTTCGATATGAAAATCCTTTACGAAAAATGTGTACGATATTGTAGTAGTATATATAGTGATATTTCGATATCGTATAAAGCGTATATGTATAAGTCCCATTGAATTGATAAAACAACAATTTCGTCAGAATTTGAGCTTCAATTTAGAATCCCAATTATATGGAAAACGTAAATGTACGCATGTAGTCTCGCAAAGAACTTATTATTTCTTTATTATTTCTATTTTAATAATTTTTGTTGAGTTAAAGCAATTATTCTTTTCTTTTTATAATAACTCATATAACAAAGAATACCTGAATGTCTTCGTGCTCAGCTAATAATGATAGAGCATAAGAAATGCCCATTGCTGTAGTATCATGATCCTGTAATCACATTGTGTTAATATATACCTAGATAAGCATAATTAAAGAAAAAAGAAAAATTCCAAACGCGTACCTCAAACATAAAGGTATCGACTTCATCTCTAATATCTAAATCAGTTAAAAGATTTTCTTGAGACATCAGTATTAATAGATCCAACATAGCAAGCCTCTTTTTTTGTTCTAAATCAAATTTTATAAGCATGTAAATATCAATTTATAAAGCACAATGTTTGAATTGTGTGTTTTTACTAAATAATAATAAATTTGAATTATGTTACAAATATTGATTTATATATAATTTAATTCACAACAATGGGTATGTGTGTGTGTGTGTGTGTACTTAATAATACAAATATAATATTTAAATTTCAATGCAGTCATAATTTTTAATATTAGATGAGAGAATTTAAGATATCTACGACTTCTGTATGTATTACGTACTTTTATTATTATCTACATCGTCTGCCTCTACAACTCCATCTTTGCCTAAATTTTTTAAGTATTGTCCATTGGTATGTTTATGATAAACTTTTCTTTCTGCAATGATCTACACATATCGTACATTAATTCTTTTTTCATGCTTTCTAAATGTGCTAAAAATGTGTTTATGAACATTTATTATATAAATTGTTTTATTATTTTTTCGTACAAAATTAAAATAAAATTTCATTAAGGTAAACATTTTTTTAATTTAGAAAAAGTAATTTTACTCTTAACAGAATATTTGAAATTATTAAAGAAAATAATTTTGACGCACCTTGTCAGTAAATCCATGCAAAATCTTCAAGACCTTTGCTTGTTCTCTACCTTTAGATGTTAACGAGAATATCCAATCGTTTCTCAGCCATTCTCTCGTAAGTCTAAATCATAATTGTAAAATGTTATGTTTATATTTGTCGCGAAATAATATTATTTTATTAAATTTTTTAAATTATTAATCACTTATTATTATTTTAATAATTACAAAAGGAAAGTATGTAATATTTACATGCATTATCAGCAGGACTAGGCATTTGAAATAATTTTACTTAAAATGCAGTATTTGCAAATTGCAATATAAGTGTATTTTATTTTGTATTTCAACAGAACACATGTGAAAGTATTATTAAAAATAAGATTGATTGTTAATTTTAATATTTTAAGCCTACAAAAAACAAAATACAATTGTTTTACCGTTTTTTAAATAAAAGTATATTTTAGATCTAACCCTGATTATTAATACTTACATTATTTTATTCTAATATTTCAGCGCTTAATATTTTAAAAAGGTTTAAACTAAACTGAATGCAATTTGACTAGATGACTAAATGCAATTTGGATTAGATATGCAAATTGTTAATTGTTAACTTGAATGATGTTTTGAATTGACTATAATTAATTATTTATCTTTCCGCGTGAATGCGTGCGTGTGTGTATGATTTAATATTAATTCACTTCTCCAAGTATCACAGATATTTCGAAGTTATTTGAACTTTTAATTACCTATAAATTAAAATTTGGCACATCTTATGAACTGCGTCTCGATACTGTTGCTGAAATGAACCCATTTCTTTTAGAGAGATGCCCATAGCAGTTTCTACAAAAAAGTTATATTATTGTAATATAATTACAATATAATTACACATACTTAAAAAATATCTTGATAAAAATTCGATAAAGTTATTATATATAATTATTGTGACATATATACGTAATTTACTGCAACATCCATATTTTATATAAGTTTATATCATCTTCTGTTACATATTATTTAAGATAAAAGTTTTATATAAAAATTTATACAGATTACAATACCGCATAATGTGTTCAGCGTATGTTCACTAATGAATGGTACTAAATCTTTTATAACTGTGTCTCCTGTATCTTTCAAAGACTTCGTCATGTTCTCGCTCTCTTCAACTAAAACCTCAACAAATTGTTGTAATATATTATAGTGGAATGCAGGTGTTAATATCTTTCGGCGAGATTGCCATTTAGAGCCTAAAACAATAACAAAATGACACACATAATTATATAATAACTTTTAAAACCACACATAAATAATACTTATATACATATATGTATATATATACATATTTTATATATTTATA